GACACCATGAGGGAGATTTGGGATCTCAGAAAAGTTCCTACATTTTTCATGACAATTTTTAGACAAAATAAAAATGATGTGAAGAATAGATGTTCTCTTGAAGTATGTACTCAACTTAATTGATCAGATTCAGACTGATCAGATTCACATTCTACCTATCAATCATGAACTCTGTAGCAAAACAAATGATCACAGCTTCAAACGTAAAATACAAGTAAGATACAGAGAATTTAAAAAGTTAAGAAAAGTTACTGACAATACATGAACAACAGTGACCGGTAAAAATGCAGCTAAAAAACAGCTGAAGGTATTTTCAGTAACAGACAGTAAGAAACTTAGACTCATTACCACTTTCACTTTCTGTGGTTCCTATGATTCACCAATCAAACTGATACTGACAAATTCATTATTGTTTCAGGTCATTAAAAGGAGACCTGTGATCAACAGTATTAGAACACTGTACAAATGACTTACAGTGGACACGTCCAAGTCTACTGATCTGCTTATTTATCAATTAATTAGGCACTTTTTCATTTATCCATTCATTAATTAAGCAGTAGTGCATTGTGGGATTGTTTCATTGCTCGGCAATGCCAGAACACTACAGTAAGTTTTTCTGACATAATAAAATGGGTTTATGGTCTTTATTTCTAATGTTTAACAGGTGTGATGATCAGTGGTGTTGAGTTTTTACCTCCATTATTAAGGTGAGGGCTGAATAACGGATAGAGTTTCTCAGTGAAAGACTGACCAGTGAAGGAGTAGATATGAGAACTGGCCTCAACATCATAGAAGGAGACCAGACCCTCCTCATAATCCACAAACACCCCCACCTTCTGGGGAGCCTGTTTCAGGGAGAGGGGAACACGAGGATTTTCTGCAGCTCTATATTTAGTCTCATTTCTCAGAACCACAATCCAGTATCCATTCTCAGGACTGGCTGTAATCTTTCCCTTCCTGTTACTGGACTCTGTGGTCACTCCTAAATCCCACTCAGTCTTCCCGCTGACCTGAACCTCATAGTAAAATCTCCCTGAGGAGAACCCCTCCTTTCCCAGAACACAGGGACAACAATCAAACCTCTTTGGGTTTTCAGGGAGATTCTGTCGTTTGTCTCCAAGTGTAACTTGTTTTCCATCATCAGACAGAATGAGGAGGCAATGAGCTGAATCAGGATTCAGAGTCACATCCACTGAGAGAGAAACACACAATTGAAACATATTTTAACAAAAAGCAACATGTGATGGAAAAGGTCCATACATTCAGTCATGTGACCATTAAGAACTCACAAACCTGCAAAGTGCTGAATTCTACTCAGTTCTGTTGGGAAAGAATAATAGACAATATCATTTGCTGTTATAATCTACTTTAATAAATCAGCAAAACTCAAACTACATTTTCTTCCTACAAAAACATTTTTGTTCAATCTCACAAGTTATTATTCATCAATGAAGACTTACTGATCTTACTTACTCATCTTCTCCATCTCCTTACTGAGCTCTTCCTGAAGCTGAGACAGAGCTCTCCTCAGAGTCTCCACCCTCAGATGAGTGTTAATCCTGATGTCAGTCCAGTTCTTGGTGTGTGGGGGGCTGCAGAGGGACGGGTAAACCTACAGTCCAGCAGGAGAGAGGAGAAACCCCTCAGCATGGGGAGTGCTGTCCTGTGATGGACTGCATTACTATTGAGAAACAGAGGGACTCTGACCTGTAGGAGGTGGAGGTGGTCCTCAGTGTGGGAGAGCTGCTGCAGCTCAGTGTCTCTCCTCTTCAGCTCAGTGATTTCCTGCTCCAGCTCTTTAATGAACTCTTCAGCCTGCCTCTCTGCTGCTTTCTGCTTCTCCTCCATCACCTCAAGCAGCTCCGCCTGGCTTCTCTCAATGCAGTGCACCAGAGCTCTGAAGACCTCCACACTGTCTGCTTTCTCCTTCTCTGTGCTTTTCTAACAGAGAATAAACCAGGAAACATTTTTTTTTTTATTACAATTAATTTTTCTAAATGGTTCTTGGTTTAGACATATTGTTCTAGGAAAAAAGTTTTAATTTGTTTCCATGTCTTCGGTATATATTAAAAAAGTATTGTTGACATTGTCAAATATCTTGATTTAAGTTGCTCACACTGCACTGAGCAGATGTTTGTCTCAGAAAAGCAACAGTTAAGTTCATAAAGAGCTCACAAGCTATTAGTGAGCTACTGATAGAAATATTACCATTAGCTGGCAGGAAAATTACTGAGCTAGTTAATGTTATGCTAGCTAATATTGATACCCTGCATTTTTTATGTTGTTCAGTTTATAAAAACAAAAACTTATTCAGAATTTGGTCACTGTCTAATCATCTCACTCCTCAATGTCCATTACATTAAAATTCATGTCACGTTTTAACACAAAGCTACTAAAGAATCACCAGAATCTTAAGAACCTCTTAGTTTTGGATCTTTCTTTGGAGAACCGAAGAAGAATGGGTTTTTAAAGAAACATCTATTTAAAGGTTCTTTGGGGAACCAAAACAGATCCTTCTGTGTAATTTCTGAAAGGACACTTTTGGTTCCACATGGGACCTTTATTTTGAAGAGTGACTTAATGTTCTTCATGTATGAATATAAAATAATAATAGTACACTCGTAAAATTACAGATGTTAAAAAGGGCCAGTTTTGGGCTAATAAAAAACTTTTAGTGAATGGTTCTGTACAGAAACAGAGTTAAAGAATCTCAACATAACGTAAAGGTTCTAGAAAGAACCCTTATATTGTTATGAAACATAACAATATAACAGAATGTTCTTCAAATCTTTATTGAGATTCAGTTGAGACTCACTCTACTGAGCTCTACAGAGTGTGTGATTTCCTCAACCTTCTTCAGTCGGTTCTGGATCTTCTGCTGAACTTCTCTCTGTATCTTCACCAGCCGAGTCTATTATAAAGACACACATTACACCCACATTACTCACATATGAGGAATTATATTAAGCAAGAACAGGACTAAATGTCTCTCACCTTCCTCTCTCCACTCTCCTCCTCTACAGGAACAGTGCTGTGAGTCTTGTGGTCTGTCTCAGTGCAGAACTGACACACACTCGTCTGGTCATCTCTACAGAACAGCTCCAGGGGTCTCTCATGTTTCTGGCAGATGTAGTCCTCCAGGTTCTCCACAGGGTCCATCAGTTTGTGCTTCTTTAATAGAGCGACTCTCTGATGAGGTTCCAGATGAGTCTTGCAGTAAGAGGCCATACAGATCAGGCAGGACTTCAGAGCTGCACAGTTGTTTTCACAGTAGTCACAGAGAACCTGAGATTTGTCAGGTTTCTCTGGAGCTCTGCTGGATTTGACCTGAACTGACTTCTTGAACTGAGCAGCCAGTCCGGAGATGAACGTGTTCACACGTAGCTCAGGTCTTTTGGAGAATTCCTCTTTACAAACTGGACACTGGCAGCGTGAACTGCTGTCCCAGCACTCTTTGAGACAGACCATGCAGAAGTTGTGTCCACATGAAGTGGTGACTGGATCAGTGAACACATCCAGACAGATAGAGCACCGGAGCTGATCTTCAGACAGGAGACTGCTGGAGGAAGACATGACTGACAGAGGAGATACAGAGACACAATGAGGGAGATTTCGGATCTCAGAAAACCTCTTACATTTTTCATGACAATTTTAAGTCAAAACAAAAATGATGGGAAGAATAAAAGAGATGTTCTCTTGAAGTATGTACTCAACTTAAATCAGTCACATTAGTCTAACTGATCAGATTCCTTCTACCTATTAATCATGAACTCTGTAGCAAAACAAATGATCACAGGTTCAAAAGTAAAATACAAGTAAGATACAGAGAATTTAAAAAGTTAAGAAAAGTAACTGACAATACATGAACAACAGTGACCGGTAAAAATGAACAGCTGAAGGTATTTTCAGTAACAGACAGTAAGAAACTTAGACACATTACCACTTTCACTTTCTCTCCTTTGGTCTGCTTTTCTGCTTCTTCAGAGTTGATCTGTAGAGTTTAACTGAGTTTCCTGAGAGGAGAACCTTCAAACTGGAAACTGTGTCCTGCTGTAAGAACTGAATTCTGTTCATGAAACAGCTCTGCTTTACTTTCATGTCACCTGAGTGACGTCATGAGGCCACTCCCATGTATCCATGGTGATGGTTTGTTGTACTTGCAAGTTTTGGCTACTAAGCAGCAGACATTCACCACCTGATTTTACTTGTTTAATCAGTTAGTCTCGTTTTTTAAACAGTTTAAACCTTTATTAGTACAAGAAGACATTCTCTTTGAAGTTTTGAAGAGTGAAGAATGGCTCATCAGTTCAATAGTGGCAGTTTGGAGAAGTTCCAGCAGCGCCGTCCGTCTGGAAACTCTCGGATAAGCAAAGGCAGAAGGGGGAGCAGGCGTGCATGCTGAGGGTGGACTTGTCAAACCGGCTAGACTACATGCTGCCACTGCGGAAGCTGAAACAGCAGAGCTCATCCTCAATGACTGGGTTTTGAAGTGTTACACAGCAGAAGAGTCTGGAAGGAGTGGCAGTAAGCAAGATGGCCCCCTAGCGAGCAACCACAGCATGGATAGTGTGTTGGCAGTGCGGAAAAAGGGGGCATTGCGCTTGCCAAAAAGAAACTGAAATGAATTTTATATGGATGCATCGAAAATCGTTTCACATAAAAGAGGTATTGTCGCATAACAATAATCTACATATTTTTGGATTTTTTTTTAATGAAAATAAAGGGCACACAAAATGAATGTCATGTCATTTATCCACACATATATAGTGAAAAATTATTAAGTGAAAAACTCTCCTCATTTCTCATTCTCTCTCTCTCTAGTGGATCATTTGTACCTTTCTTTTATATATATATATATATATATATATATATATATATATATATATAGTACTATTCTAATACATACATACCTATTATTAATAAATGTCTTTTAATTAGATATATACTTAGACAATGTGAACGTACTTAACAATGAACAATGATCAATACATGTACAGGAACAATGTTGCTGTTTTGTTTATTGTCTTTCATTAAGGATGAAAATCAGTGTAATTTTACTTAGATGAAATTAATTTGATCAGTTTTACAAAATAATAACATTTAAATAATTTGAATATTATTCACATTTGCAGTATTTTTCATAAGTGTCCCAAAAACAAACTGATAACCTCATAAATATAAACATCCAATGCAGGCAAAAAAGAGCTTCATGAAACAGCGGCCAAAGTGTCGTGTGAGTTTTACTGGTATATAAAAAAGGCTGTGGTTCCTATGATTCACCAATCAAACTGATACTGACAAATTCATTATTGTTTCAGGTCATTAAAAGGAGACCTGTGATCAACAGTATTAGAACACTGTACAAATGACTTACAGTGGACACGTCCAAGTCTACTGATCTGCTTATTTATCAATTAATTAGGCACTTTTTCATTTATCCATTCATTAATTAAGCAGTAGTGCATTGTGGGATTGTTTCATTGCTCGGCAATGCCAGAACACTACAGTAAGTTTTTCTGACATAATAAAATGGGTTTATGGTCTTTATTTCTAATGTTTAACAGGTGTGATGATCAGTGGTGCTAAGTTTTTACCTCCATTATTAAGGTGAGGGCTGAATAACGGATAGAGTTTCTCAGTGAAAGACTGACCAGTGAAGGAGTAGATATGAGAACTGGCCTCAACATCATAGAAGGAGACCAGACCCTCCTCATAATCCACAAACACCCCCACCTTCTGGGGAGCCTGTTTCAGGGAGAGGGGAACACGAGGATTTTCTGCAGCTCTATATTTAGTCTCATTTCTCAGAACCACAATCCAGTATCCATTCTCAGGACTGGCTGTAATCTTTCCCTTCCTGTTACTGGACTCTGTGGTCACTCCTAAATCCCAGTCAGTCTTCCCTCTGACCTGAACCTCATAGTAAATTCTCCCTGAGGAGAACCCCTCCTTTCCCAGAACACAGGGACAATAATCAAACCTCTCTGGGTTTTCAGGGAGATTCTGTCGTTTGTCTCCAAATGTAACTTGTTTTCCATCATCAGACAGAATGAGGAGGCAATGAGCTGAATCAGGATTCAGAGTCACATCCACTGAGAGAGAAACACACAATTGAAACATATTTTAACAAAAAGCAACATGTGATGGAAAAGGTCCATACATTCAGTCATGTGACCATTAAGAACTCACAAACCTGCATAGTGCTGAATTCTACTCAGTTCTGTTGGGAAAGAATAATAGACAATATCATTTGCTGTTATAATCTACTTTAATAAATCAGCAAAACTCAAACTACATTTTCTTCCTACAAAAACATTTTTGTTCACTCTCACAAGTTATTACTCATCAATGAAGACTTACTGATCTTACTTACTCATCTTCTCCATCTCCTTACTGAGCTCTTCCTGAAGCTGAAACAGAGCTCTCCTCAGAGTCTCCACCCTCAGATGAGTGTTAATCCTGACGTCAGTCCAGTTCTTGGTGTGTGGAGGGCTGCAGAGGGACGGGTAAACCTGCAGTCCAGCAGGAGAGAGGAGAAACCCCTCAGCATGGGGAGTGCTGTCCTGTGATGGACTGCATTACTATTGAGAAACAGAGGGACTCTGACCTGTAGGAGGTGGAGGTGGTCCTCAGTGTGGGAGAGCTGCTGCAGCTCAGTGTCTCTCCTCTTTAGCTCAGTGATTTCCTGCTCCAGCTCTTTAATGAACTCTTCAGCCTGCCTCTCTGCTGCTTTCTGCTTCTCCTCCATCACCTCAAGCAGCTCCGCCTGGCTTCTCTCAATGCAGCGCAGCAGAGCTCTGAAGACCTCCACACTGTCTGCTTTCTCCTTCTCTGTGCTTTTCTAACAGAGAATAAACCAGGAAACATTTTTTTTTTATTACAATTAATTTTTCTAAATGGTTCTTGGTTTAGACATATTGTTCTAGGAAAAAAGTTTTAATTTGTTTCCATGTCTTCGGTATATATTAAAAAAGTATTGTTGACATTGTCAAATATCTTGATTTAAGTTGCTCACACTGCACTGAGCAGATGTTTGTCTCAGAAAAGCAACAGTTAAGTTCATAAAGAGCTCACAAGCTATTAGTGAGCTACTGATAGAAATATTACCATTAGCTGGCAGGAAAATTACTGAGCTAGTTAATGTTATGCTAGCTAATATTGATACCCTGCATTTTTTATGTTGTTCAGTTTATAAAAACAAAAACTTATTCAGAATTTGGTCACTGTCTAATCATCTCACTCCTCAATGTCCATTACATTAAAATTCATGTCACGTTTTAACACAAAGCTACTAAAGAATCACCAGAATCTTAAGAACCTCTTAGTTTTGGATCTTTCTTTGGAGAACCGAAGAAGAATGGGTTTTTAAAGAAACATCTATTTAAAGGTTCTTTGGGGAACCAAAACAGATCCTTCTGTGTAATTTCTGAAAGGACACTTTTGGTTCCACATGGGACCTTTATTTTGAAGAGTGACTTAATGTTCTTCATGTATGAATATAAAATAATAATAGTACACTCGTAAAATTACAGATGTTAAAAAGGGCCAGTTTTGGGCTAATAAAAAACTTTTAGTGAATGGTTCTGTACAGAAACAGAGTTAAAGAATCTCAACATAACGTAAAGGTTCTAGAAAGAACCCTTATATTGTTATGAAACATAACAATATAACAGAATGTTCTTCAAATCTTTATTGAGATTCAGTTGAGACTCACTCTACTGAGCTCTACAGAGTGTGTGATTTCCTCAACCTTCTTCAGTCGGTTCTGGATCTTCTGCTGAACTTCTCTCTGTATCTTCACCAGCCGAGTCTATTATAAAGACACACATTACACCCACATTACTCACATATGAGGAATTATATTAAGCAAGAACAGGACTAAATGTCTCTCACCTTCCTCTCTCCACTCTCCTCCTCTACAGGAACAGTGCTGTGAGTCTTGTGGTCTGTCTCAGTGCAGAACTGACACACACTCGTCTGGTCATCTCTACAGAACAGCTCCAGGGGTCTCTCATGTTTCTGGCAGATGTAGTCCTCCAGGTTCTCCACAGCGTCCATCAGTTTGTGCTTCTTGAGTTTAGGTGTGGTTTTATGAAGTGCTAGATGAGTCTTGCAGTAAGATACTCCACAGTCCAGACAGGATTTCAGAGCCTCCAGCTTTTCATCACTGCAGGAGTCACACATCACCCTTTTACGTTTGAGGGGTTGTTTCTCTGGAGCTCTGCTGGATTTGACCTGAACTGACTTCTTAATTTGAGCAGCCAGTCCAGAGATGAAGGTGTTCACAGACAGTTCAGGTCTTGTAGGGAATTCGATGTTACAAACTGGACACTGGCAGCGTGAACTGCTGTCCCAGCACTCTTTGAGACAGACCATGCAGAAGTTGTGTCCACATGAAGTGGTGACTGGATCAGTGAACACATCCAGACAGATAGAGCACCGGAGCTGATCTTCAGACAGGAGACTGCTGGAGGAAGACATGACTGACAGAGGAGATACAGAGACACAATGAGGGAGATTTCGGATCTCAGAAAACCTCTTACATTTTTCATGACAATTTTTAGTCAAAACAAAAATGATGGGAAGAATAAAAGAGATGTTCTCTTGAAGTATGTACTCAACTTAAATCAGTCACATTAGTCTAACTGATCAGATTCCTTCTACCTATTAATCATGAACTCTGTAGCAAAACAAATGATCACAGGTTCAAAAGTAAAATACAAGTAAGATACAGAGAATTTAAAAAGTTAAGAAAAGTAACTGACAATACATGAACAACAGTGACCGGTAAAAATGAACAGCTGAAGGTATTTTCAGTAACAGACAGTAAGAAACTTAGACACATTACCACTTTCACTTTCTCTCCTTTGGTCTGCTTTTCTGCTTCTTCAGAGTTGATCTGTAGAGTTTAACTGAGTTTCCTGACTGGAGAACCTTCAAACTGGAAAGTGTGTCCTGCTGTAAGAACTGAATTCTGTTCATGAAACAGCTCTGCTTTACTTTCATTTCACCTGAGTGACGTCATGAGGCCACTCCCATGTATCCATGGTGATGGTTTGTTGTACTTGCAAGTTTTGGCTACTAAGCAGCAGATATTCACCACCTGATTTTACTTGTTTAATCAGTTAGTCTCGTTTTTTAAACAGTTTAAACCTTTATTAGTACAAGAAGACATTCTCTTTGAAGTTTTGAAGAGTGAAGAATGGCTCATCAGTTCAATAGTGGCAGTTTGGAGAAGTTCCAGCAGCGCCGTCCGTCTGGAAACTCTCGGATAAGCAAAGGCAGAAGGGGGAGCAGGCGTGCATGCTGAGGGTGGACTTGTCAAACCGGCTAGACTACATGCTGCCACTGCGGAAGCTGAAACAGCAGAGCTCATCCTCAATGACTGGGTTTTGAAGTGTTACACAGCAGAAGAGTCTGGAAGGAGTGGCGGTAAGCAAGATGGCCCCCTAGCGAGCAACCGCAGCATGGATAGTGTGTTGGCAGTGCGGAAAAAGGGGTCATTGCGCTTGCCAAAAAGAAACTGAAATGAATTTTATATGGATGCATCGAAAATTGTTTCACATAAAAGAGGTATTGTTGCATAATTTAATGTCATCTACATAGTTTCGGATTTTTTTTAATGAAAATAAAGGGCACACAAAATGAATGTCATGTCATTTATCCACACATATATAGTGAAAAATGATTAAGTGAAAAACTCTCCTTATTTCTCATTCTCTCTCTCTCTAGTGGATCATTTGTACCTTTCTTTTATATATATATATATATATATATATATAGTACTATTCTAATACATACATACCTATTATTAATAAATGTCTTTTAATTAGATATATACTTAGACAATGTGAAAGTACTTAACAATGAACAATGATCAATACATGTACAGGAACAATGTTGCTGTTTTGTTTATTGTCTTTCATTAAGGATGAAAATCAGTGTAATTTTACTTAGATGAAATTAATTTGATCAGTTTTACAAAATAATAACATTTAAATAATTTGAATATTATTCACATTTGCAGTATTTTTCATAAGTGTCCCAAAAACAAACTGATAACCTCATAAATATAAACATCCAATGCAGGCAAAAAAGAGCTTCATGAAACAGCGGCCAAAGTGTCGTGTGAGTTTTACTGGTATATAAAAAAGGCTGTGGTTCCTATGATTCACCAATCAAACTGATACTGACAAATTCATTATTGTTTCAGGTCATTAAAAGGAGACCTGTGATCAACAGTATTAGAACACTGTACAAATGACTTACAGTGGACACGTCCAAGTCTACTGATCTGCTTATTTATCAATTAATTAGGCACTTTTTCATTTATCCATTCATTAATTAAGCAGTAGTGCATTGTGGGATTGTTTCATTGCTCGGCAATGCCAGAACACTACAGTAAGTTTTTCTGACATAATAAAATGGGTTTATGGTCTTTATTTCTAATGTTTAACAGGTGTGATGATCAGTGGTGCTAAGTTTTTACCTCCATTATTAAGGTGAGGGCTGAATAACGGATAGAGTTTCTCAGTGAAAGACTGACCAGTGAAGGAGTAGATATGAGAACTGGCCTCAACATCATAGAAGGAGACCAGACCCTCCTCATAATCCACAAACACCCCCACCTTCTGGGGAGCCTGTTTCAGGGAGAGGGGAACACGAGGATTTTCTGCAGCTCTATATTTAGTCTCATTTCTCAGAACCACAATCCAGTATCCATTCTCAGGACTGGCTGTAATCTTTCCCTTCCTGTTACTGGACTCTGTGGTCACTCCTAAATCCCAGTCAGTCTTCCCTCTGACCTGAACCTCATAGTAAATTCTCCCTGAGGAGAACCCCTCCTTTCCCAGAACACAGGGACAATAATCAAACCTCTCTGGGTTTTCAGGGAGATTCTGTCGTTTGTCTCCAAATGTAACTTGTTTTCCATCATCAGACAGAATGAGGAGGCAATGAGCTGAATCAGGATTCAGAGTCACATCCACTGAGAGAGAAACACACAATTGAAACATATTTTAACAAAAAGCAACATGTGATGGAAAAGGTCCATACATTCAGTCATGTGACCATTAAGAACTCACAAACCTGCATAGTGCTGAATTCTACTCAGTTCTGTTGGGAAAGAATAATAGACAATATCATTTGCTGTTATAATCTACTTTAATAAATCAGCAAAACTCAAACTACATTTTCTTCCTACAAAAACATTTTTGTTCACTCTCACAAGTTATTACTCATCAATGAAGACTTACTGATCTTACTTACTCATCTTCTCCATCTCCTTACTGAGCTCTTCCTGAAGCTGAAACAGAGCTCTCCTCAGAGTCTCCACCCTCAGATGAGTGTTAATCCTGACGTCAGTCCAGTTCTTGGTGTGTGGAGGGCTGCAGAGGGACGGGTAAACCTGCAGTCCAGCAGGAGAGAGGAGAAACCCCTCAGCATGGGGAGTGCTGTCCTGTGATGGACTGCATTACTATTGAGAAACAGAGGGACTCTGACCTGTAGGAGGTGGAGGTGGTCCTCAGTGTGGGAGAGCTGCTCCAGCTCAGTGTCTCTCCTCTTTAGCTCAGTGATTTCCTGCTCCAGCTCTTTAATGAACTCTTCAGCCTGCCTCTCTGCTGCTTTCTGCTTCTCCTCCATCACCTCAAGCAGCTCCGCCTGGCTTCTCTCAATGCAGTGCACCAGAGCTCTGAAGACCTCCACACTGTCTGCTTTCTCCTTCTCTGTGCTTTTCTAACAGAGAATAAACCAGGAAACATTTTTTTTTTATTACAATTAATTTTTCTAAATGGTTCTTGGTTTAGACATATTGTTCTAGGAAAAAGTTTTAATTTGTTTCCATGTCTTCGGTATATATTAAAAAAGTATTGTTGACATTGTCAAATATCTTGATTTAAGTTGCTCACACTGCACTGAGCAGATGTTTGTCTCAGAAAAGCAACAGTTAAGTTCATAAAGAGCTCACAAGCTATTAGTGAGCTACTGATAGAAATATTACCATTAGCTGGCAGGAAAATTACTGAGCTAGTTAATGTTATGCTAGCTAATATTGATACCCTGCATTTTTTATGTTGTTCAGTTTATAAAAACAAAAACTTATTCAGAATTTGGTCACTGTCTAATCATCTCACTCCTCAATGTCCATTACATTAAAATTCATGTCACGTTTTAACACAAAGCTACTAAAGAATCACCAGAATCTTAAGAACCTCTTAGTTTTGGATCTTTCTTTGGAGAACCGAAGAAGAATGGGTTTTTAAAGAAACATCTATTTAAAGGTTCTTTGGGGAACCAAAACAGATCCTTCTGTGTAATTTCTGAAAGGACACTTTTGGTTCCACATGGGACCTTTATTTTGAAGAGTGACTTAATGTTCTTCATGTATGAATATAAAATAATAATAGTACACTCGTAAAATTACAGATGTTAAAAAGGGCCAGTTTTGGGCTAATAAAAAACTTTTAGTGAATGGTTCTGTACAGAAACAGAGTTAAAGAATCTCAACATAACGTAAAGGTTCTAGAAAGAACCCTTATATTGTTATGAAACATAACAATATAACAGAATGTTCTTCAAATCTTTATTGAGATTCAGTTGAGACTCACTCTACTGAGCTCTACAGAGTGTGTGATTTCCTCAACCTTCTTCAGTCGGTTCTGGATCTTCTGCTGAACTTCTCTCTGTATCTTCACCAGCCGAGTCTATTATAAAGACACACATTACACCCACATTACTCACATATGAGGAATTATATTAAGCAAGAACAGGACTAAATGTCTCTCACCTTCCTCTCTCCACTCTCCTCCTCTACAGGAACAGTGCTGTGAGTCTTGTGGTCTGTCTCAGTGCAGAACTGACACACACTCGTCTGGTCATCTCTACAGAACAGCTCCAGGGGTCTCTCATGTTTCTGGCAGATGTAGTCCTCCAGGTTCTCCACAGCCTCCATCAGTTTGTGCTTCTTGAGTTTAGGTGTGGTTTTATGAAGTGCTAGATGAGTCTTGCAGTAAGATACTCCACAGTCCAGACAGGATTTCAGAGCCTCCAGCTTTTCATCACTGCAGGAGTCACACATCACCCTTTTACGTTTGAGGGGTTGTTTCTCTGGAGCTCTGCTGGATTTGACCTGAACTGACTTCTTAATTTGAGCAGCCAGTCCAGAGATGAAGGTGTTCACAGACAGTTCAGGTCTTGTAGGGAATTCGATGTTACAAACTGGACACTGGCAGCGTGAACTGCTGTCCCAGCACTCTTTGAGACAGACCATGCAGAAGTTGTGTCCACATGAAGTGGTGACTGGATCAGTGAACACATCCAGACAGATAGAGCACCGGAGCTGATCTTCAGACAGGAGACTGCTGGAGGAAGACATGACTGACAGAGGAGACACAGAGACACCATGAGGGAGATTTCGGATCTCAGAAAACCTCTTACATTTTTCATGACGATTTTAAGTCAAAACAAAAATGATGGGAAGAATAGAAGAGATGTTCTCTTGAAGTATGTACTCAACTTAATTGATCAGATTCAGACTGATCAGATTCCTTCTACCTATTAATCATGAACTCTGTAGCTAAACAAATGATCACAGGTTCAAAAGTAAAATACAAGTAAGATACAGAGAATTTAAAAAGTTAAGAAAAGTAACTGACAATACATGAACAACAGTGACCGGTAAAAATGAACAGCTGAAGGTATTTTCAGTAACAGACAGTAAGAAACTTAGACACATTACCACTTTCACTTTCTCTCCTTTGGTCTGCTTTTCTGCTTCTTCAGAGTTGATCTGTAGAGTTTAACTGAGTTTCCTGAGAGGAGAACCTTGAAGTTAGAGATTGTGTCCTGCTGTAAGAACTGAATTCCGTTCAAGAAACAGCTCTGCTTTACTTTGATTTCACCTGAGTGACGTCATGAGGCCACTCCCATGTATCCATGGTGATGGTTTGTTGTACTTGCAAGTTTTGGCTACTAAGCAGCAGACATTCACCACCTGATTTTACTTGTTTAATCAGTTAGTCTCGTTTTTTAAACAGTTTAAACCTTTATTAGTACAAGAAGACATTCTCTTTGAAGTTTTGAAGAGTGAAGAATGGCTCATCAGTTCAATAGTGGCAGTTTGGAGAAGTTCCAGCAGCGCCGTCCGTCTGGAAACTCTCGGATAAGCAAAGGCAGAAGGGGGAGCAGGCGTGCATGCTGAGGGTGGACTTGTCAAACCGGCTAGACTACATGCTGCCACTGCGGAAGCTGAAACAGCAGAGCTCATCCTCAATGACTGGGTTTTGAAGTGTTACACAGCAGAAGAGTCTGGAAGGAGTGGCGGTAAGCAAGATGGCCCCCTAGCGAGCAACCGCAGCATGGATAGTGTGTTGGCAGTGCGGAAAAAGGGGTCATTGCGCTTGCCAAAAAGAAACTGAAATGAATTTTATATGGATGCATCGAAAATTGTTTCACATAAAAGAGGTATTGTTGCATAACTTAATGTCATCTACATAGTTTCGGATTTTTTTTAATGAAAATAAAGGGCACACAAAATGAATGTCATGTCATTTATCCACACATATATAGTGAAAAATGATTAAGTGAAAAACTCTCCTTATTTCTCATTCTCTCTCTCTCTAGTGGATCATTTGTACCTTTCTTTTATATATATATATATATATATATATATATATATATATATATATATATAGTACTATTCTAATACATACATACCTATTATTAATAAATGTCTTTTAATTAGATATATACTTAGACAATGTGAAAGTACTTAACAATGAACAATGATCAATACATGTACAGGAACAATGTTGCTGTTTTGTTTATTGTCTTTCATTAAGGATGAAAATCAGTTTAATTTTACTTAGATGAAATTAATTTGATCAGTTTTACAAAATAATAACATTTAAATAATTTGAATATTATTCACATTTGCAGTATTTTTCATAAGTGTCCCAAAAACAAACTGATAACCTCATAAATATAAACATCCAATGCAGGCAAAAAAGAGCTTCATGAAACAGCGGCCAAAGTGTCGTGTGAGTTTTACCGGTATATAAAAAAGGCTGTGGTTCCTATGATTCACCAATCAAACTGATACTGACAAATTCATTATTGTTTCAGGTCATTAAAAGGAGACCTGTGATCAACAGTATTAGAACACTGTACAACTGACTTACAGTGGACACGTCCAAGTCTACTGATCTGCTTATTTATCAATTAATTAGGCACTTTTTCATTTATCCATTCATTAATTAAGCAGTAGTGCATTGTGGGATTGTTTCATTGCTCGGCAATGCCAGAACACTACAGTAAGTTTTTCTGACATAATAAAATGGGTTTATGGTCTTTATTTCTAATGTTTAACAGGTGTGATGATCAGTGGTGCTAAGTTTTTACCTCCATTATTAAGGTGAGGGCTGAATAACGGATAGAGTTTCTCAGTGAAAGACTGACCAGTGAAGGAGTAGATATGAGAACTGGCCTCAACATCATAGAAGGAGACCAGACCCTCCTCATAATCCACAAACACCCCCACCTTCTGGGGAGCCTGTTTCAAGGACAGAGCGACACAAGGATTTTCTGCAGCTCTATATTTAGTCTCATTTCTCAGAACCACAATCCAGTATCCATTCTCAGGACTGGCTGTAATCTTTCCCTTCCTGTTACTGGACTCTGTGGTCACTCCTAAATCCCAGTCAGTCTTCCCTCTGACCTGAACCTCATAGTAAAATCTCCCTGAGGAGAACCCCTCCTTTCCCAGAACACAGGGACAACAATCAAACCTCTCTGGGTTTTCAGGGAGATTCTGTCGTTTGTCTCCAAGTGTAACTTGTTTTCCATCATCAGACAGAATGAGGAGGCAATGAGCTGAATCAGGATTCAGAGTCACATCCACTGAGAGAGAAACACACAATTGAAACATATTTTAACAAAAAGCAACATGTGATGGAAAAGGTCCATACATTCAGTCATGTGACCATTAAGAACTCACAAACCTGCAAAGTGCTGAATTCTACTCAGTTCTGTTGGGAAAGAATAATAGACAGTATCATTTGCTGTTATAATCTACTTTAATAAATCAGCAAAACTCAAACTACATTTTCTTCCTACAAAAACATTTTTGTATAATCTCACAAGTTATTACTCATCAATGAAGACTTACTGATCTTACTTACTCATCTTCTCCATCTCCTTACTGAGCTCTTCCTGAAGCTGAGACAGAGCTCTCCTCAGAGTCTCCACCCTCAGATGAGTGTTAATCCTGACGTCAGTCCAGTTCTTGGTGTGTGGAGGGCTGCAGAGGGACGGGTAAACCTACAGTCCAGCAGGAGAGAGGAGAAACCCCTCAGCATGGGGAGTGCTGTCCTGTGATGGACTGCATTACTATTGAGAAACAGAGGGACTCTGACCTGTAGGAGGTGGAGGTGGTCCTCAGTGTGGGAGAGCTGCTCCAGCTCAGTGTCTCTCCTCTTTAGCTCAGTGATTTCCTGCTCCAGTTCTTTAATGAACTCTTCAGCCTGCCTCTCTGCTGCTTTCTGCTTCTCCTCCATCACCTCAAGCAGCTCTGCCTGGCTTCTCATAATGCAGTGCACCAGAGCTCTGAAGACCTCCACACTGTCTGCTTTCTCCTTCTCTGTGCTCTTCTAACAGGGAATAAATCAGGAAACATTTTTTTTTTAATTACAATTAATTTTTCTAAATGGTTCTTGGTTTAGACATATTGTTCTAGGAAATAAGTTTTAATTCGTTTCCATGTCTTTTGTATATAATAAACAAAGTATTGTTGACATTGTCAAATATCTTGATTTAAGTTGCTCACACTGCACTGAGCAGATGTTTGTCTCAGAAAAGCAACAGTTAAGTTCATAAAGAGCTCACAAGCTGTTAGTGAGCTACTGATAGAAATATTACCATTAGCTGGCAGGAAAATTACTGAGCTAATTAATGTTATGCTAGCTAATATTGATACCCTGCATTTTTTATGTTGTTCAGTTTATAAAAACAAAAACTTATTCAGAATTTGGTCACTGTCTAATCATCTCACTCCTCAATGTCCATTACATTAAAATTCATGTCGAGTTTTAACACAAAGCTACTAAAGAATCACCAGAACCTTAAGAACCTTTTAGTTTTGGATTTTTGTTTGGAGAACCGAAGAAGAATGGGTTTTTAAAGAAACATCTATTTAAAGGTTCTTTGGGGAACCAAAACAGATCCTTCTGTGTAATTTCTGAAAGGACACTTTTGGTTCCACATGGAACCTTTATTTTGAAGAGTGACTTAATGTTCTTCATGTATGAATATAAAATAATAATAGTACACTCGTAAAATTACGGATGTTAAAAAGGGCCAGTTTTGGGCTAATAAAAAACTTTTAGTGAATGGTTCTGTACAGAAACAGAGTTAAAGAATCTCAACATAACGTAAAGGTTCTAGAAAGAACCCTTATATTGTTATGAAACATAACAATATAACAGAATGTTCTTCAAATCTTTATTGAGATTAAGTTAAGACTCACTCTACTGAGCTCTACAGAGTGTGTGATTTCCTCAACCTTCTTCAGTCGGTTCTGGATCTTCTGCTGAACTTCTCTCTGTATCTTCACCAGCCGAGTCTATTATAAAGACACACATTACACCCACATTACTCACATATGAGGAATTATATTAAGCAAGAACAGGACTAAATGTCTCTCACCTTCCTCTCTCCACTCTCCTCCTCTACAGGAACAGTGCTGTGAGTCTTGTGGTCTGTTTCAGTGCAGAACTGACACACACTTGTCTGGTCGTCTCTACAGAACAGCTCCAGGGGTCTCTCATGTTTCTGGCAGATGTAGTCCTCCAGGTTCTCCACAGCGTCCATCAATTTGTGCTTCTTGAGTTTAGGTGTGGTTTTATGAAGCGCTAGATGAGTCTCACAGTAAGATACTCCACAGTCCAGACAGGATTTCAGAGCCTCCAGCTTTTCCTCACTGCAGGAGTCACACATCACCCTTTTACGTTTGGAGGGACGTTTATCTGGAGCTCTGCTGGATTTGACCTGAACTGACTTCTTAATTTGAGCAGCCAGTCCAGAGATGAACGTGTTCACAGATAGTTCAGGTCTTGTAGGGAATTCGATGTTACAAACTGGACACTGGCAGCGTGAACTGCTGTTCCAGCACTCTTTGAGACAGACCATGCAGAAGTTGTGTCCACATGAAGTGGTGACTGGATCAGTGAACACATCCAGACAGATAGAGCACCGGAGCTGATCTTCAGACAGGAGACTGCTGGAGGAAGACATGACTGACAGAGGAGACACAGAGACAGTATGAGGGAGCTTTCGGATCTCAGAAAACCTCTTACATTTTTCGTGACAATTTTAAGTCAAAACAAAAATGACGGGAAGAATAAAAGAGATGTTCTCTTGAAGTATGTACTCAACTTAAATCAGTCACATTAGTCTAACTGATCAGATTCCTTCTACCTATCAATCATGAACTCTGTAGCTAAACAAATGATCACAGGTTCAAACATAAAATACAAGTAAGATACAGAGAATTTAAAAAGTTAAGAAAAGTAACTGACAATACATGAACAACAGTGACCGGTAAAAATGAACAGCTGAAGGTATTTTCAGTAACAGACAGTAAGAAACTTAGACTCATTACCACTTTCACTTTCTCTCCTTTGGTCTGCTTTTCTGCTTCTTCAGAGTTGATCTGTAGAGTTTAACTGAGTTTTCTGACTGGAGAACCTTCAAACTGGAAACTGTGTCCTGCTGTAAGAACTGAATTCTGTTCATGAAACAGCTCTGCTTTACTTTCATGTCACCTGAGTGACATCATGAGGCCACTCCCATGTATCCATGGTGATGGTTTGTTGTACTTGCAAGTTTTGGCTACTAGGCATCAGATATTCACCACCTGAATTACTGGACCTTTTACTCAATACATGAAACAAACAGACAAAGAATTAAAAAACACATGTAAGTAGCTTGGTATTAACTAATTGGCATGATTTTACAGTTGCTTATTTCAGGGCTCTGGCCGGTTTTGTCTGTAAAGGGTCACTGTGGCTGCAGCTTTTCATTCCAATTAAAACAAGCAACTGATTTTACTTGTTTAATCAGTTAGTCTCATTTTTTAAACAGTTTAAACCTTTATTAGTACAAGAAGTTCAAGCAGTGCTGTCCGTCTGGAAACTCTCGGATAAGCAAAGGCAGAAGGGGGAGCAGGTGTGCATGCTGACGGTGGACTTGTCAAACTGGCTAGTCTACATGCTGCCATTGTGGAATCTGAAACAGCAGAGCTCATCCTTACTGACTGGGTTTCGAAGTGAGTAACACAGTGTTACACAGCAGAAGAGTCTGGAATGGGCGGCGGTAAGCGAAATGGCCCCCCGGCGAGCAACCGCAGCATGGATAGTGTGTTGGCTGTGCGGAAAAAGGGGGCATTGTGCTTGCCAGTGCTGCGAGAGCCAGCTCGTGGGCAGCCCCACAAGAGAGTAACCCTCAGCGTTGCTCTTACCGCCAGTGGCAGCAATCACTGCTGTGGGCTCACAGCATCAACAGCAAATGGCTCACTGTGCCTGCTGATGTTGGCTCAGCGCAGTCAGGTCGTGCTTCTCTTCACCACAAGAGGGATGCTGGATGGCTGTGAGGCCAGCGCTTGACCAGTGGTTGAGCAAGCAAGAGCATAATTACTGCATAATGCAAAAGGAACTGCTAGCTGTTGTAGTAAGGCTGCACCAGTTCTAGCCCTACCTCTACGGTGTTCCCTTTGTGCTGCACATTGAACATGCCTCATTGACCTGACTCACGCAGTTCGAAAAACCCAAAGGGCCAGGTGGCGAGGTGGATCATGGCACAATTTCTCCATTCAGCACAATGCCGGGCATGCATGTGCTTTTGAGGAATGGCAGTACTGTGTGCCACTTAAGGAGAAAGCAGCAACAGAAGTAAGGAGTGCTCTGACCGCAGCCGTCACTCCTAGCTGAACAGGACTGGATGCCATAAGCCCTGAGGAGGTCTTTTGTGCCCAGGAGGAAGATGTGGAACTCTACTAGGTGCAAGGTTGGCTCCAGGCAGGGAAAACACTGGAGGGGACAGATATAACCCCGTAGGGGCCCACCGCCAAGGTGTCCGCACAGGAAGGGACAGCCTCGTTTTTGCAAAGAGCTGTTGTACCACATTTGGGAGAAACTAATGCCTGGTAAGAGCATCTGGCAGTGCATCGGGGTGGGCAAGACCCTGAAGCAGCTGCAGTAAAAATCCTATGGACAAGGCTGCCACTTGGATGTGGAGCTCTATGTGGACTGTTGTAACCTGTGTATAGCCAAGAAAGGGCTGTTGCATGCTCTGTTGCAATCCCTCCACTCCAGTGCCCTGAAGGAGAGTAGCAGTGGGCATCCTGGTCCCCTTTCCCACCACTGAGGCCGGTTTCATTGTGACATTGTGGGTCACTGGGATGGCTGACCTTTAAGGGAGAAAATATGGGGTGGCTGCCACAGGGGCGCACTGCACTCATGAGTGTAGCAAAGTTAATTACTTGCTTGTTAATTCTCTTAACTAAGAATTTCCCTGTTGTGGGACTAATAAACGATTATCTCATCTTATCTTATCTTATTCTGAAAAACCTTTTGTTTTAAAACTAAATCTAAAACCTAAATCTAAAGGACATGTAGTAGTAACAACACTACACACTTACCACATTTGAAATAAGTTTTTCTTTTCAGAAAGAAAGTTAGAAAGTTCTAAAGAAAGTTAGTTCAAGACTAGCTAAAACTAGCCAACTAACATAATATTAGCAAGATTCGTAGCTAACTTGCCATGGAACCAAAATATTTCGAGCAGTATCTTACTAATTAGCAAAATATTAAAACAAACAAACAAAATCGGTAAAAAAAAAAAGGCAAAAAGTCCGGCAGCAGGGGTGGCAGAAAAAAAACGTTATTTAACAGTAAAAGTATGTTTTCTCAATGACGGTAAAATTCCATAAAATTTCAGTCATTTAATTTCTTAGAAATACTGCTTTTTACTGTAACTTAACACTTTCAGCATTTCAACTAGTTATTCTGACATACAGAGCCAGATTCATAAAATGCACTGCCAAATAGCCTGGCGGTAACACAACTGCTGATCCATAAACAAGGATTCCCAGTGTGTTTTACCACTTGGGCAATATGAGTCGCGGCCGCACTATCATCTCATTTAAACGTGACGGAAGCGATTCATAAAATGACACAATCTCACAGAAAATAAGGCCTGAACCACTCTGGCGGTAATTTACTGGTACACCTTGTAACTTCTGGAGGAGGAAGAAGACTTGCTCAAGCAGGATTTTAGAGTGGCAGAACTGGCGCTGTACTTAAAACTGCACAGGAAATCATGCTGCTTTCCTAATGTTTTGAAGTTCACTTCAATATAAATAGTTTAGAAAGAGAAATAGTTTGTTTATCATGATAGGTGTTGTTGTGCAATCATATTGTAATCACATTTTGCACTTATAACCTTGGCTCTGTCAATGTTTTAAATAATTGTGACATCTATTGTTCAAACCAGTGAGTTATGCTGAATGGGCATTATGCTGTGGTCATGTAATCATGCAGGCTGCTTGGGGGATGAAATGCGTATATTGTTAAAAATGTTGGGAGCTGTACACAGAGTACACTCTTTTTGCCAGTGAAAATGACCACTTTGAGATTACGAATTGTGACAACTCCTTAATTTCTGGTCAGAAGGTGCACAGGGTATGTGCACCAAAACTTTTGCATATGACGGAACATACAGTGTCCTCCACAAATATTGGCACCCCTGGTAAACATGAACAAAATAGGCTGTAAAAAAAGTGTTGTTTATTGCTGATCCTTTTGATCTTTCGATCAAAATATTAACAGAACGCTAACCTTTACTTGAAGTACATTGACTGAAAAAAACAAATCTTATCAGCAAATATGTATTTTTCTCAGTTGTGTGGTTCTCAGTTGTTGGCTAACCTTTATTTAATACTTTGTGCAGCCTCCCTTTCCAAAGATAACAGCTCTGAGTCTTCTCTTATAACGCTTAATGAGACTGGAGAACACATGGCAAAGGATCTGAGACCATTATTTTGATAATCAAAATGAAAGAAATTGTGGTCAAACAGTTAATTAGCAAACTGTTAATTAGCAGTTAATTAGCAAAACTGTTAATTAGCAAAACGGATTTTCATCCCTAATGAGACACAATAAACAAAACAGGTTATCATCTTTAAGCAGCACACTCTTCTTTATCTTTTTAAAGCATGGAAACTTCTGGTTCATATTCAATTATTCTAAATGTCATATAAACATTTGTTCATTTTAATATTCTCCTGGATGAGGAAGACGACGAAAGAAACCGAGTGTCGAGGCTTAACAGTGGAGCCCCATGAGGAAGTCAGTAAGGCAGCTGATACCGGAGAGGCGGAGGCCAAAGGAAGAGCGGATAAGCATGTTGGTGGTAAACCAGAGCACAGTGGTTCAACCAGCATACCCGGCGTTCGAGGAAGGCTGTGCAGGAAGAGTTGGTACTGGAACATTTCTTGAACGCACTGCTGCCAGAGGAGCTGAGACAGCACAAGCTCGCCACACCAGTCAGACTTCAATCAGCTGCTTGCCAGAGAGGGCAGGACAGCAACAGAGTGCTACGCAACACTGGAGTTTAAGGAGGAGACAGCGTGCCCCAAAGCAAGTCCCCAAGCGAATGGTGCTGGAGTGACTGGTGTGCTGGCAGAGCTGGAAGAGGACTGGGAGTGAATGGCCGGTGGTGACCTCCCTCATTAGTTTTACTGTGTTGCAGTGCGGTTCTGCCATATTCAGTAAAAACAGAAATATGGCATCCTTCTATGCTGACGCCACAATCTACTGGAGACGTTTGAAGGCAAGAAATAAGTGGAGACTGCCCAATCCTAGAATCAGTGACAGCGTGTTCAAAGTGGGGGTGAGTGACTGTGTGTCTTTCAGCAGGTCTCTAAAATATACAGGAACAGCAGTGAGATTGATAATACTGATAATACTCATTCCTTTATAGGCAACAATACTAAATACTAAATACTACATACTTTTTGATTGTAATTCAGAACCAAAACCTTATTCAGGATTCAGAACCTAAAAATTCCACTCCACAGTCCCACAAAGCTGCAGTGGGAGGTGCTGAGCGTGTTCTCGTTCTCACACCAGCCAGAGCGATTCATGCTAGATTAAACACAGAAGTTTGAAGCTTGTAAAAGAAATATTAGCACATATTTGAAAACATCAGTCATTCAAAGACTTTCACACACCATACAGCAGATATATCTGTGCAGTGATACACACGTCAGTGAGTTTCTGTATGGTTGTGTACATACAAATGGTTATTATAATAACGTGTTGTTTGTTTGTTTGTGATATGTTGTGCATATTGTGATGCTGTAATTCAACCTGTAAATACAACTGGCAGCGGCCTCGTGACGTCACTCAGGAGAAATGAAACTAAGGCGACGCTGCTTCATAAACAGTCCAGTGTCTTTCAGTCTGAAGTCTCTCTTAGAGGAGCTGATCTGCTGTACTGTAACTGTGAACTGTAAAGGAGCAGAAAAGCAGACCGAGTGAGGAGGACAGTGAAACTGCTGATGCTGGTAATTACTGATAAACTCCTTCTGTTCAGTGTCTCTGTAACTCACTGTGAATGTGGTTTAGTGTTTAACTGCTGTAAACGCTCGAGATCTTCATCTTAAACTCCTGTTCTATGTTTTAACGTTTTACAGTGTTAACTATAGAGTACCAGAGCAGACTGAAAGTGCCCTCAACCCAATCTCAATCCCAAACGGTCCGTGTACCTTCTGTTCATTTGATTTTCATTTTAAAAACCAGTATTGAACAACGGCAAATGGGTCGGTTCTCGTTCTAGTTCTGTTATTGTCAGTGGGAAAATCAAGAAATAGCTTCTTTTTACAATTTCACAAAATAATCATAAAATCAAATAACAAACAACCAGCAATGGAACAAAGGGTCGTTTTCTAATGATCCAAATGTAGAATTTCCCATCATAAGCGGAAATAAACGTGCAGAGCGCAGATTTTGAAGCTAAGAAAATCACAGAATTATTACTTTTATATTACTTTTTGTATAAATAATATACTGTATATTTGACGTGTACAAACTATATGTGAGAGAAATGATATGGGGGAGAAACTGAACTCCCACCATTTGACGGGGGCTTCCTGCTCCCCAGATCAGCTGCAGTTGCGCTCAAGTTCAACAAGTTTTCTGTCGGTATTCTGCCGAACTCCTCTATTCGTGCGTGCGCATCACACAGGCATATGGACACTAGATTACTGTCTTTCAGTCATAATGACCAGTACTCTTGGTGAAGACGGAGACTCGAGGCCGATACTTCTTGCGAAGAGAGATTCTCGAGGGTTGTGCGAAGCCGAACGCGCCTCCGCGAGCTTACAAGCCCGCATACTTTCTGCGGTTTGGTGTTGCCTGTCTCGGATGCTCCTCGTGACGCTATGACATTTTATGATAAATGTCATGACGGCTGGAAAACGATTCCTTCACTGTTCTATGGCGACGTTTGAGTTCAGAATACTGCCACCATTTAAGGTGGAGCGGGAAAATTCCAACATGAAGCTGGTGAGTCAAGTCAAGTCAAGTCAAAGTTTATTTATAAAGCGCTTTTTACAACATGTGTTGTCACAAAGCAGCTTTACAGAAAAACCCGGGTCCGAGCCCCCATGAGCGTCGCCAATGGAGACAGTGGCAAAGAAAAACTCCCTAAGATCGGGAGATGATTCCACAATTTTGGGGCTACGTAAAATGCTCGACCCCCTGCTGTGGTTTGTCTAATTCTAGGAACTGTCAGCAGGCCGCTATTTAGTGAGCGGAGCGTTCGTGTGGGTTCATATGACTGAATGAATTCACTAAGAAACTGCGGGGCCATATAACCATATATACGGTAAGAGAAGGATCTTATACTCTACACCGAATTTAACAGGTAGCCAGTGTAATGAGGACAGGAGTGGGGATATATGGTCAAACTTTTTGGTCCTTGTAAGGACTCTAGCAGCTACGTTCTGGACCAGTTGGAGCTTATTTAGTAACGTATTGGAGCATCCAGCTAAAATGGTGTTACAGTAGTTCAGCCTGGAGGTTATAAATGCATGCACAAGTTTTTCCGCATCGTTTAGGGCTGGAATATTAAGTAGTTTAGCGATGTTACGCAAGTGAAAGAATGCGGTTCTAACAATGTTGCAAACGTGTATCAAAAGAGAGACTGGAATCAAAGATGACGCCTAGATCTTTTACAGTAGTGCTTGGAATGACCGTGTGGCCTCTAAATTTAGTTCAAATTTGGAGAGTTGAGATCTTTCTGCTTTGGGTCCAAGTAGTAGATTAGGATTAAGAAGAAGGAAATTGTTGGTCATCCAGCATTTGATATTTTTAATACACTCTTCAAGATTATTTAGATGTAGAGCCTCATTTGGTTGAGCAGATATGTACTATATTGCGAATTAGGTTACCAAGAGGTTGCATACACAGAGAGAAAATCAGCGGCCTGAGCACAGATCCTTGGGCGACATCATATTGTACTAGCGTGCCATCAGAGTGATTATTGTTAACACTCACAACTTGCTAATGGTCGGTCAGATAAGATCGGAACCATGACAAAGCCTGTCCTTTGATACCAACCAGATTTTACAGCCTATCAAGGAGGATCTTGTGGTCGATAGTATCGAATGCTGCACCAGAAGGAGTGGTATCTAGAAGGACTAATATGCAAATATGGCCACTATCGAGAGACACAAGATCATTTACTACTCTAGTTAATGCTGTTTCAGTACTGTGAAAGGGTCTAAAGCCAGACTGAAACATCTCATGGAGAGAGTTTTCTTGTAGATAGGAGCACGAAGCCTGAATAGAAAGCCTGCTTCAGCCTTGTCTTGTTGTGAACCTAAATATAAGGTAACCTCTGTGTTTTGGTGCTCAGTACTAGTTAGCATTACCAAATAATAGACTTAACATCTTACACCCCAGATAGAGAGCATATATCGGTCTCCTGGCTTGATAAGGTTGGCACCCCACTGACTGTTTGCCACTGCTGGTCCACCCTTGGACCACCCAGTTTACTGTCATGCATACAAGTTTTAACTAGTTTTAGACTCCTCAAACAGATTTTAAATGCACACAGACTTTTATTTTGGAAAATAAACTTATATATAAACAAATATATAAAACAAATATTACAAACAAATGAGGGGGAAAAAAAAATCATGACCAGGCCTGATATAAAATGATTTCACAGAAAATGCTGTTGCTGATGCTGTGATAGATTAAAATGATTTACTAAACTAATTTATAAAGTATAACTAAAGAAAAGAGGAAGGAAAAATCAGTAAATCGGATAAATAAAAGGGAAAATAAAAAAAGGGATGCCAGAATCAGCCCAAAACTGTCTGCTGTCTGGGATATACCAGAACAACAGGCCTGTGATTTCTGAGCTTCAGTGACCCCACTGCGCTCTGCGCGTTTACTTCCGCTTATGATGGCAAATTTTAAACTTGGACGAGAAAATTCGACCCTACACCACATCAATGAGCTCTGCACGCTCACAGAATAGTACCACTTCAGCACACACTGCACACTTGAAAGAGAAGCTCGATAACTTTGCCTGGCCACTAGGCTGTGTTAGATTCTTGTTCAGCTCACGTTTATTTACATGTCTCCTCTGTCTTAATAATTTCCAATGCACCAACTGTAACTACAGACCCTGTTCAACAGCTTCTTGTTTGAATTTTCCAATTCCATCTTAAACGGTGCCGCAGTTACATTTTGGCACCTGAGGCCTCTGCTGAAAATGTTGCACCATTTGGAAAGAGATAATTTGAACAAGAACCTTTGCAAATAAGAAGCCAACTTCAGCTTTGAATATGTTTTCCACTCATAAACACAGCATTAGCTGGCTTTGTGGTTAACCTAATTTAGCAATGAACAGCGTTATAAGCTGCGTTAAGCGATGTTGCGAGAGACTTTTCAGAAGTGATCAGTTAGGATAGGACCAATGTTTGTTTACTCACTAGAACTGCCACACTGTTTCATAAATGACTCTACAGTTGAGTTTGTCAGCAGCTCAGCCTACACTACTCTACTACCGTGTGTTAAACACAGGCTAATTCTGATGTTTGCCAGGCAGTACTGGCTTTCACATTACTTCAGCAAAAGCAGGCATGGCTGACACGAATGTTGCCAGGCTTATTTTGGCCTCATCTCTTTAGTGGGGTACTCTACTGGACTCTGCTTGCTCGTATCGGCCAATAATATTGGCATGCTGATTTTTTGGTCATGCTCTTGAGAGACCCAACTGCATGAATACAGAGTTCGGACAATGTTTTTTATATACTTTACCTGGGGTGATATCACATCGCCACACCCTTCTTATCAATTTTTTCTGTGTTCCATTTGGTCCCATTGGATACAAAATGTATCTATGTACACAATGTATGCATTGTATACATAATGTATCTCATGTATAGGACACTCCTTAAAAGCTGGTTTCAGCCAGTTTGTACCAGTTTATCTCATCCTGCATGGCCCCACTGAACCATATATCATAGGGACTCATATGAGGTCACTGAGAGTGCACCTGCAAGCAAGGTCATCAAAAGTCATCTGCTTTGGAAAGCCTCAGACTATGGCCTAATGCATTCTTAGGGCCTCTCAGTGCGACATTAATATTCCCTTTTAGCCAATGCTTAACAATTCGATTTTTGAGAATGTCTTTTTTGACAATGACACTGAGTTATTTAAGAAAGTCATGATAGGGTTTCATTCATCAGCTAAGAATTATTATGAATAATATGTGATGTTTTCTACAATCTTAAAATCACCTTCACGATTTCTCTCTCCTCTTCACTATGTCCTATCTCCACTGTCAGTCATGTCTTCCTCCAGCAGTCTCCTGTCTGAAGATCAGCTCCAGTGCTCTATCTGTCTGGATGTGTTCACTGATCCAGTCTCTACTTCATGTGGACACAACTTCTGCATGGTCTGTCTCAAAGAGTGCTGGGACAGCAGTTCACGCTGCCAGTGTCCAGTTTGTAAGGCAGAATTCCCTACAAGACCTGAACTGTCTGTGAACACCTTCATCTCTGGACTGGCTGCTCAGTTCAAGAAGTCAGTTCAGGTTAAATCCAGCAGCGCTTTAGAAAAACACCCATCTAACCCTACAAAGGTTCTGTGTAACTACTGCACAGATGAACAGCTGGAGGCTGTAAAGTCCTGTCTGGACTGTGGAGTATCTTACTGTGAGACTCATCTGATGCCTCATAAAACTGCAGCTAAACTCAAGAAACACAAACTGATGGACCCTGTGGAGAACCTGGAGGACTACATCTGCCAGAAACACGAGAGACCCCTGGAGCTGTTCTGTAGAGACGACCAGACGTGTGTGTGTCAGTTCTGCACTGAGACAGACCACAAGACTCACAGCACTGTTCCTGTAGAGGAGGAGATTAAAGTGAAGAAGGTGAGAGACGTTTAGTGAATTATTCACTCTGTCTCCTGCTTTTTCATTGAAAAACTCCTCATATGATGAGAGCTATTGTTATAATTTGTTTTTATTCATAATAGATTCAAATGGGAACAACACAAGTAGAAGTTCAGCAGATGATCCAGGACCGACTGAAGAAGATTGAGGAAATCAGTCACTCTGTTCAACTCAATAATGTGAATCTTAACTGGGTCTCAGTGATTATTTACTATGCATGTATTACTCAATGCTTATAATAATCCACCATGAAAACCAGTTCACTGAACTGCAGACAATCATTTCAGTTAAATTAAACTGTGAAATCTATGAAAGAAATTAGTCAGGCTTTAGGTCAGAATAGTAATGATAGCAAAATATCAGTCCTTGTCCTCTTGCATCTTAAGATGCATTAGATGCATTTTACACTGTAGATAACTGAAGTTCTCACATGTCAAATTAAGATGGAACTGTTTGGAAATGGAAGTGTAAAAATATGAAAAAAGCATCTGCACACTCAAAACTGCAATATCTTTTAATATTCAAGCTTTCGGTTAGAGACCTTATTCAAGGTATGAATATTTTTGGAAATGGAAGAGTAAAAGGGAAGTGGTTTTACACAAATCTAACTGATAGTCGATATTTTGTTACTCTTGCTGAGTTTATAACTGGAAGGTGTTATATTTGCTGTGGAGTACCTCAAGGGAATGTAGTGGGGCCACTTATTTTTCTTGTACATGCTGCCACTCAGTTCTATTATGAGCATGCTGTTCAACTACATTATAACTGAACATGGAGCAGTCACTGGTTTATTCCTTTAATTATTATTCTTTTGTTTTTTTCTTTTTATTGTTCTCTTAAAGTTACTTAAATTTGCTTTTCTCTTTAAAGCGCCCTGAGCTGCATTTAATGTATGAACGTTGCTGTGCTGGTAATGTCATCATTATTGTGTGCTGTTAGCAAAACATAGAGAAGGAGAAAGCAGACAGTGTGGAGGTCTTCAGAGCTCTGCTGCGCTGCATTGAGAAAAGCCAGGCGGAGCTGCTTGAGGTGATGGAGGAGAAGCAGAAAGCAGCAGAGAGGCAGGCTGAAGAGTTCATTAAAGAGCTGGAGCAGGAAATCACTGAGCTAAAGAGGAGAGACACTGAGCTGGAGCAGCTCTCCCACACTGAGGACCACCTCCACCTCCTACAGGTCAGAGTCCCTCTGTTTCTCAATAGTAATGCAGTCCATCACAGGACAGCACTCCCCATGCTGAGGGGTTTCTCCTCTCTCCTGCTGGACTGTAGGTTTACCCGTCCCTCTGCAGCCCTCCACACACCAAGAACTGGACTGAGGTCAGGATTAACGCTCATCTGAGGGTGGAGACTCTGAGGAGAGCTCTGTCTCAGCTTCAGGAAGAGCTCAGTAAAGAGATGGAGAAGGCTTTTGTGATTGGTGAGTATTTATTCATCAGTAAGAGCCTGTGAGGATGAGCAGATGTGTTTTTGTTGTAAGAAATGCATATTTGATACATGGAACATTAAGATGTTTTGAATCTGGAATATTATTTATTTAAAACTCCTCTATAATTTTAATACTATACTGTGGCATTTGTTTCTAATATTACAGTGCTTAACAGGCGTTTTATTAAGCACAATTTAAATTCTAAGATGTGAATGATATTTTTCATTATTCTTTCCAAACAGAACTGAAGAGGATTCAGCGGTATGCAGGTATGTGTGCTCTCACTGATCACATGACTGGATATTTCTTCAGTATTACACATCATCATGTTTAAAATGGGTTTCAACTGTGTTTGTTTATCTCTCAGTGGATGTGACTCCGGATCCTGATTCAGCTCATCCTAACATCATCCTATCTTATGATAGAAAACAAGTGAGACTTGGAAAAATACAACAGGATCTCCCTGAAAACCCAGAGAGGTTTGATCGTTGTCTGGGTGTTCTGGGAAAGGAGGGGTTCTCCTCAGGGAGATTTTACTATGAGGTTCAGGTCAAAGGGAAGACTGGCTGGGATTTAGGAGTGACCACAGAGTCCAGTAAGAGGAAGGGGGAGATTACACTGAGTCCTGAGGATGGATACTGGACTGTGATTCTGAGAAATGAGACTGAATATAAAGCTCTGGACTCTTCCATGATCCCCCTCTCCCTGAAACAGGCTCCCCAGAAGGTGGGGGTGTTTGTGGATTATGAGGAGGGTCTGGTCTCCTTCTATGATGTTAAGGCCAATTCTCACATCTACTCTTTCACTGGTCAGTCTTTCACTGAGAAACTCTATCCATACCTAAGTCCCTCTCTAATCAATTATGGAGGTAGAAACTCAGGACCGCTGATCATCACACCTGTTAAAACTTCATAGATGAGACAAATGCCTCCCTTCAGAACTTTTTATGTCAGAAAATATTTCAGGATGTAAATAAAAGCATATTTCTGAAAATCCTTAAATACATTACAGAATAATTGGTTGAATAAATGAAGTAATGCATTAACAAAGTAGCCAATGAATGAATAAACCTGGACTAGTTTGTTGTATCTGTACGTCAGCTGTACAGTGTTGTACTGTTTACTACATTTTACTTTATTTTTATAAGTGCAGAATGTCAGCTTCTATTTGATTGATGAACCTTGTGGTAATCCAAGCGCTTAAAGCTATTTAGTTCTTTATCTTTTTAAAGTGTGACTTCAAGTCAAGCTTCAAGTTTCCATTAAATTATTAAAAAATGTAATTTGAGGAAGTTCTACAGTAATATCTATAAAAGAATAATATAAATTATCCGCTACTTGCAGAAGCAAAGGGGGCGCTGAGTTAAACACAATCATCCTGAGAAGTTCTGCTGATTCCATTAGTTTTGACAGATCTGTTGACTGAAATAAACACATAAAAGATATTCTGAATTTAAAACTCATATGAGATCTACCTTCCTGAGTATCAGCTGGTTCTGAGGTTCCTTTAGTGGTTCTGTGGTTTGGAACAGACAAGCAGAGGTGCATGCACCAGCTGCTTTAACAGGAAGATCATTGTATTACTGAGTAGGTTCCCCCTTTGCTTTCAGAAGACTGTGGTTTTTGGTGGCATGGGTTCAACAAGGTGCTGGAAATGTTCCTTAGAGATCTGTTTCATGTTGACCTGATGGCTTCATGTCATTTCTGCAGATTTATTAGCTGCAAATTCTGCACATGCTGTGAACCTCTTAAAGGTACTCTATTAGATTCAGATGTGGTGACTGTGGAAGTCATTTCACTTAACCTACTTACTGTCATGTTTATGGAAAAATTCCTGAAGCTTTTTTTTATTTGTTCTCTTTGTATGTAAAAGCTTAAAGTTATATTTGTTTGTGGCATGATGTACATCAGAAATGTACTCCAAATGGTAATAAATCACCAAGGCGTTTGATGACCTTGCCATTTTATTTGAGAACTCTCTGATTGTTCTGTCTGAAGAGGCAAGAAGTGTCTGTGTGATTCTGGGTGGCCAGTTTTCATTCTCGGCTCATATCGCAAACCTGACTTGGTCATCCAGGTTTCTCCTGTTCAACATTCGGAGGATTTGACCCTTTCTCTCTCAAGAGGCCACCCAGGTGCTCGTTCAGTCTCTTGTCATCTCAAAGCCTGACTACTGCAACTCGCTGTTGGCTGGATCTATCTATGCAGGTCATCAAGCCCCTGCAACTCATTCAGAAAGCAGCAGCACGGCTCGTCTTCAGTCTTCCTAAGTTCAGTCACGTCACTCCACTGCTGCGCTCCCGTCACTGGCTGCCTGTGGATGCATCATATTTAAAACCTTCGCCTACAAAGCCAAAATTAGACCAGACCCTGCCTCCCTGATGGCAATGTTAAAAACTCGAACTGTACCACGAGCCCTTCGAGCTTCGAGTAAAGCTCGGCTTGACCCGCTATCCTTTAAGACGCGGAAGACAAGCATAGCTACCTTAGAGCATCAAGCTGGTGAATTGAAGAGGAAGGCCTTTATAGATGAGCTAGATGATTTGAAAAAGAAGAGGGCTTGGGTAGAGGCTGATGTTTGTATCCTTGAGAAATCAGTGGTTGAATATGCTGAGAAAGCAGAAACCACAGGCAAACTGACCTTCAGTTTCTGCCAAAGAAAAGAAAGCATGTTGATAAGAAACGTGCAGAAATTAAAAAATAAACTGTGTGGATTTGGGATTCAAACAGGGAGGTAAACACCTCAGTGTCATTGCTAGACTGAGAATAGTCCACCAACCAAAAATATCCAGCCAACAGCGTCTTGTGGGCAGCGTCCTGTGACCACTGATGAAGGACTAGAGGATGACCAACACAAACTGTGTAGCAGCAGATGAGCTATCGTCTCTGACTTTACATCTACAAGGTGGACTGACAAGGTAGGAGTGTCTAATAGAGTGGACAGTGAGTGGACACAGTGTTTAAAAACTCCAGCAGCACTGCTGTGTCTGATCCACTCAGACCAGCACATCACCCTTGATCCCTTTATTGAAGGGTTTGCCACTACCACACAACTTGAACAGGGGAACTTCTGAACTCTGATATACAAAGAAATAATAAACTGTGTGTGTGGTTTCCTATAAAGCAATAGAAAGCATATACAATAATAAACATTAGGGAATTAACATGAAGTACACATCTGTACAACAATATAGGTGTCAATACTTAGTTTGACCACTAGATGGCTAGAACATCATATGGCACCATAAGATAGAATAACAAACCAGGCAATTGTAGATATACAGAAACACAAAGCTTCTCAGTACACACTACATAAAGTAAGTTAATCAGGTAACAAACACGTGCACACATTAATGGATACATTGATTTGTAAACAAACATTCGGTTGCCCAGACTAACTAACTCACATTCTATATAATATTTAGGTGAAAACGTTACAACAACGCTACTTACTTTACATGCACGCACGCCAAAGGAAATCCATGCCGCAGCAGAATGACTCAACAAGTGTCTTAACTGGCGTACGTCCTCCTGAACATTACAAAATGGACCGTACCAACTGAGAAATTGGGAGGAACTATTACAGAGGGGGGGAAAGGGGATGGCCTTTTAAACAATTACTGACATACCGTCACTGTAACTGGAAACATATTACACACATTATAATAAGCCTTGGTTGCCATAGATGGGATGTATGTAAAAGACATTTTTCCACTCACTCCTTTCCAATTTAATCATTGATGATTCAGGCCACATTTTCAGCACAAAATAAGCTAATACATTCCATGAGACCTGCTTTTGGTAGAGTCAGCTATTCCTTCAGCTCAGTAACAGTTGAAGAAAGTACTGTATGTTGATTGAAATGCTCTGCTTTGAAATAATCTAAGGGTCTATTAAATAAATGAATAAATTAAGATATGATTTGTAGGCAATTCAGTCCTGTTGTGTACTTTAGTGAGGGACTAATTCAGTCACTTATTATTAAAAGAACAATAGGTAACACTTTACTGTAGGGTGCTGTTAATAAGGCCACATGACACCTACATAAGCTTGTAATGACAACTGACATAACCCAACATAACTGTTTATAAATGCTTGTTCCAATAAGCGTCATTCGCTATAAAGGTTACATTTGCAAATTTTGATCAAAGTCAGCTAAAGTAGCCTTTATGACAGATGACGCCTGTTGTAATAAGCATTTACAAACAGTTATGTAGGGTTATGTCAGTTGTAAGGACAACCTTATGTAGGTGTCATGTAGCCTTATGAACAGCAGCCTACAGTAAAGTGTTACCAAACAATAAGTTATTAATGCATGGAGAAGCAGCATGGCGGAGCTGATGCAGAAATTTGCTTATTAGAATGGTTAACCCCTTAAATGGCCGGGGCCAACCAGCGGTCCCAAAGTTTTAGGACACATTTCTATAACCTAAGAATAATTTAGGCAGTTTGTACTAAAGTCCCTGTAGATAATAATAATGATAAGCCTCAGTATGTAATAAGCCTGGGATTTTAAAGGGGTAAAGAAGAAGAAATGTATTGATTTGGAATTGCAGCATCAGAGTCCAATAGAAATGTTGTAGTGAGCCTGAGGCGTTCAATTTATACAAGAAACCCAACAAACCTCCCTGAGCTAAAGCAATTCTATATGAAGGAGTGGGGCAAAAAATTCTCCAAGCCAGTGTGTGAGACTGATCAATAGCTATGGCAAACATTGTCATTACTGTTAAGTTGGTCACACCAGATACTCAAAGCAAAGACTGATCAATTAATGAATGAAGGTAAATAATTTTATGTATTCTCTGTTTTTTTGGGTTTCTTAATCATTTTGATGACAGTCCGATTACTTTTTAGGTATGCAAAATATTCTACAGTGTTCACAAGCCTTCTAGCACCACTGTAAAAGATTTTCAACTTTTGTCATTTTTATTATGTTCCTTAAAAAAAAAAACACCCCTTACCTACTATGTTTTTCTTTGTTCTTGTATTGCTGTCATCCTTGAGCTACATCTCAAATTCATATACATTGGTCTTGGATGCCAGAGGAAAGGGAAGGAAGGGAAGCCATTTCAGATAATAAGGAGGTCTAGGTCAGAAGTGTTTACCTGTGGCTGTAAGGAGAGTCAAGATGTACAGTTTAGGCCCAGAAAGAGTCATTGAAATATTTTGCAGTGGTACGTAATCAGCAACAGAGAGCAGCCTATGAATGATGCAATGTACAGGTCCATACTTACCAGTGCAGTGTAGATCTTCACTGCTTCTTTCTGTCCTGTGTCAATCTGGGCCTGATGGCAAGGTTTGCAATTAAAAAACAAGCTGACATTAATAATCCAATACATCTGAAATCCACAGTATCTTTTGGCATTCCATTCTTCTCTGTGTATGAAAGTTTATTTATAATTCAATAATACGCTGCATATTTATGCCAAGCAAATTTGTGTCAATTTCACTGATAAACTTTAGTGTGCCTCATCCACACATATTCAGATATTTTTACAGACATATTCCGTCCACACCAACAGTGTTTTCAAAAACACATCATCTTAACCTTTAGCTACAGATAGAAAAATATTAAAACAAAGTTTGCAAGGAATACTGGTGATTTTAACTCAGCTCAAGGTGAATTAAAAAGATCAGAAACAAATGTTTTTTTTTATAATTCCAAACATAGTTTAGCTAGTTGGCTAACATTTGCTAGCTAGTAACTTACTTGTCAGTACAAACTCAATTCCAAAAAAGTACTTTGACCTGTATTTGAATGAAAAAAGTGCAAGATATGTAATGTTTACCTTATCAACTTCATTGCTTTTAAGTAACTATATGTTCATTCTGGAACTGTTGCCTGCAACACATTCCAAAAAAAATCAGGACAAGAAACATGTTAAAAAACATCTTAAATTGGTGATACAGTCATGCTTGGATGTAAAATAAGCATCCAGGAAAGGCGGAGTCTTTCATGAGCAAGGACGATCAAAGCTCACCTCTTTGCTAAAATGCATCAGCAAAATAAATCCAAAAGTTCAAAAGGTACTTCACCCTCTATAACATCAAAAGATGCAGGAAATCTGGAGAAACCTCTGTGTGTAAAGGACAAGGCCAAAAACCACAAATGGATGCCCATGACTGTCGACCCCTCAAACGGCAACACTACAAACCAGCATGCTTCAGTGATGGATACACAAGTTCGAAAGCCAGAGTCTGTCATGATATAGGGGGGTTTAGTGGTTAACCCCTTACCAAGCCATGGTCCCGACAGCGAGCCCAAAGTTTTATTACAGGCTTCTGTAACCTAAGAAAAGAACCATTAGTTGGCATTGAAGTCCCTGTAGTTAATGAATAATAAGCCTTAGTATGTAATAAGCCTGGAACGTTAAGAGGCTGCGCATTTATGAGAGCATTACTGACACTGAAGACATTACGGAGCAACATATGCTGCCTTTATCAGGGACGTCCATGTTTATTTCTATGTGACTAAGATCAAGAAACTTTCTGCACGTGTTACAACAGCAGGGCTGCCTAATCAGAGTGACTGGCCTTCCTGCAGACCAGAACGGTCATTTATTGATAAAGCATTATTAATCTCAAAATACAACAACAAAGGCCCTGTATGGCTGCACAACTGAAAACCTGTAGAACAGAAGAATGTAAAAAAATCCTTGTTTAAAACTGGATCAATTTGTGTTTTACGTCCCCAAACATTTATGAAGAGTTGCTAAGAGGAAAGGTGATGTAACACAGTGGTGAACGTGATTTTGTCCAAACGTCTTTTGGAACAAATTTGGAATGAGTGTGTATATATAAATAGCTAATTTAGCTAGCTAAGTAACAGAAGTGTGCAACAGCTGCTTGTATTACATTCATCATCTTTAAAATAAAAAAGTGTAGATAGGCAGGTATCGCTTTTTTCCATAATTTTGTGATAGCAGAGTAAATATATTTGAACAGCTTACCTGGAC